AGTTCGCTCCTCTCTTTCAAAAATAAAAGAAAGACTCCCTCCCTGGTACACAATGCCCCTGCACCCCTCCCACCGCCCCAAGTACATTCCACTATGCAACCTTAATGGTGGACTCTTGTGATAACCATAATACCCTATCATACATCGCTTTTAAATTATTCAGTCCCTTATCTGTTTCAGTGCAGTATACATAATTTATCCAGTTTTTCTCAGTCTTACCCCCCACCCTGATATCAGTCCCATTTTACAGCAGTGGCACCATGCAATATTTGTCCTTCCAAAGGAAGCAGATGTTCAGGAGAAACCACATTGTACATGATGAGCTACCCTTATTTTTATAGAATGGTGGAACGTTTCCTGAAATCCAGGTTCCTGGAGAGCCATTCTTGCAAGCATATCTTTCTAAAGTTAGCAGCTCTTGACAGTTTTTACCCAATTTCAGCACAGTGGCTATTAATACCGTGCTCAGTTTGGGCCTTATTGATTGTAGGAGTTCCCAAGACTTAAAATTAGAGTAGTGTATCTGGTATATGATATTTATATGCTTGCTTGTTTTATGGTTTGCCTTTATGGGTACACCACTTACCTGTCATTTTATTGTATTAGGAGAATGATTTGTATATTGCTGCTTATTTTATGGATTATTTACTTATATTCTTGATTATTTATCATTTACCTTTATGAGCACAGCACTTGTTTTTCAGTTTTCTCTATTGGGTTGACCTGCAGGTTGTTGTGATGCTCAGAGTTGTGCCACTGGCATTTCAAATATTTCCCCATGGTAGAAAAGTTTTAGTAGATCTTCCAGATTGACAGACTAGGAAGCAGGATTGGCCATCCACTTATGAGATAACAGGCCTTCAAAACCCGGTGAATAATTGCAGTGTTAGACTAAAGGCTGGAGTTGGTTATTTTTTTAGCCAGTTAGTCCCCTCTGGTCTCCAGCTGCCTTCACTGTAAACACATGGTCTTGCTAATCAACACAGTCTCATAAATCCTGAACAGCTGGAGGATCAATATAAAGAGAGCGCTCTCCACACTCGGAGTATGTGAGAACACCAACACAGGAGTAGCAGTGCAACTGTGTTTAACCATCCAGCGACATCCACATTGGCCCATTGCTCACCGGTCTACAAAAAACCTGACCTGCATAACTACAGTCACATGAGTGATTCTGCAGACAGGTTGGAGTCTCTGGAGGACCTTCTAGCAAATCATCTAGCCTATAGGCCTTCAAGGAATTGGGAAATTGAGCCATAGATGGAACTGTTAATAGAAACTATGGGCTTATACAGGGGGCTAAGCATTTGAGATTATATTGTTCTGAGGCTTCTCATAAATAGTCTGCTATTTATCTTAGGATAAATTAGAAAGACAGTTATAGGACCATTGTTAGGTATAGTACGGGCAGTAGAGCCTCAGATTGGAAAGACACTCGAACATGAGGCAAAAAAGCTGTGAACATTTATAATTGGAATGTGGAATGTATGAAGTATGAATATTGGGAAATTGAGAAATTACCAGAAATTAAGTGGAACGTATAAAGATTGACATTCTAGGAATTAATAAACTGAGGTGGACTGGTATTAACCACTTTGAATTCATGTGCCAGGAATGAAAAAATTGAGAAAGAATGATGAATGCCATGAATACAAAGCTATGAGTGATAGGATACTATTCATACACATCCAAGGAAGTCCTGTTAATACAACCATTAATCAAATATATGCACCACTTATGAAAGACAAAGATGAAGAAATTGAGAATTTCTACCAACTTTTACAATTTGAAATTGGTTGAACCTACAAGCAAGATTCAATAATAATTGGTTGTTGGAATGGAAAAGTTGGAAACAAGGAACGACGAGTAATTGGAAATTACACATTTATGACAGAAATGAGTCTGGAAATAATGATTTGATTCTATATAATCAAGGATTTATATTCATTGCAAATACCTTTTTAAAAATCACAGGCAGCAACTGTATAAATGCACCTCACCTTAAGGCCACAGAAATCAGATTGACTACATCTGTGGAAATTATCATTGGAAAAAATACCAGCAGTTAAAACCAGGTCAGGTGCTGACTGGAACAGATTATAAATTATTCCTGTGTAAATTCAAATTAAAGGTGAGGAAAATGAAAACAAATTCACAAGAACCAAAATAGATCTTGAATCTATCTCACTTGAACTTAAAAACCATCTCAAAAGTAGATTTGAGGCATTGAACACTAAGGGTCGAAAACCATTCGTGACATCAAGGATGTCATCCATTAAGAAAGCAACAGATCATTACGAAGACAGAAAGGGGGAAAATGACCAGAAAGAATGTCAGAATAGACTTTGAAAATTACACGAGAACATTGAGAAGTCAAAACAAAGATAAAAAAAAAATAATGAAATAAAAAAGAGTTCCAAAAATTTCCAAGGGCAGCTTAACATGACAAAGCAAAGTATTATCACATCATATGCAAAGAGCTGAAATTAGAAAATAAGAAAGAAAGCTTGATATTTCTAAAGTGGAAAATATGAAAAAACCTAATTCAAACCTCAAGCTGCAATATTAAAAGATTCTCCAGGCAAAAATGTGAATGATGGTGGAAGTATCAAAAGAGTACACTGGGTCACTGTATCACAAAGAATTGGCTTACACAGATCCATTTTAGGATGTGGCATCTGATAAAGAACAAATGGTAATGAAGGAAGAAGTTCAAGCTGCACTGAAAGCACTGGCAAAAAATTAGGACCCAGGAATTGAAGGAATAACAGTTGATATGTTTCAACAACATAAGGAGCTCTCCAAAGTGCCAAAGAGCAACAGTGTAAGTTTTAAACACTATGGTGTGCCTGATCCAAGCCAGTGCCTTTACAGGTACTTTCTAGCTATATAAAATTGAAACTCATGAGTAAGGATGATAGAAGAATCATTTCATTTGAGTTGTGTTGGAGAAGAGTATTGAATGTCCCATAGACTGCCAAAAGAACAAACAAATAGGTCTTGAAGAAAGTACAGTCAGGAGTGCTACTTAGCTGCAAGGGTGGTGAAACTTGATCTTACATATTTTGAGCATGTTGTCAAGGAGGGGCCATTCCTTGGAAAAAGACAGCATGCTTGGAAAGGTGGAGGGTATTCGAAGGAGAGGAAGAAGACCCTCAAGATGATTTGACAGTGAATGTATCATGGGCTCAGTTGTATCAGAGATGATGAGAATGACACAGGACAGGGCAGGGTTCAGAGTCATTTTCCACAAAGTTGTAGTCAACTGCATTGTAGTCAACTTGATAGTAGTCAACAGTAATAGTAGGCTCTAGGGACTCTACTGACCTGGTGAGTAAGAAATTGCTCTGCCAAACTAAGATAGGAGGTTCAAATCCACCAGCTGCTCCTCTGGAGAAAAATGAGCTGCTGCTTCCGTGCAATTTACAGCTTCTAAAATTTGTAGCTGTAAGTTGGTTTCCACTCGACAGCCAAGAATGAGTGAATGAGTAGACAGTCTTTACCATGAGTCTGGAACACATGGGAATACACAAGAGAGCTGAGGGAAAGTGTGTAAATTTAGAAAGAAATTGTGATAGCAGATGAAGACATTAAATTATAAAATAACAGACATACATAAAAGCATAGGGATTATGGAAGTAGATGAAAGAGATGTTGGTGAGGTTGGCATCTCTTGAAAAGAATTGTGCAGCTGGGGCAAAAGTATGTAGTTCAAATCTACCAGTTCTTCTGTAGGAGAAAGAAGGGCATTCTACTCTCCTCTGAAAACTCACTGGAGGGTCAGCTATGGGTTGGATCTGACTTGCTGGTTCACCACAACAAAGAAGGGATTATCAGATAAAAGAAATGAGGCTAGGATCTGTCCTACGTAGGCTCCTCCAACTCCATGGCTAAACCCTAGGGTTTTAAGGGCCCCACCCAACTGAATGGATCACTCAGGGGAAAACTGACAGAGCCTGGACTGATTGACAAATTCTGTCCGGATTTGCATTGGCTGATACTCTCTGCTTCTCCTACCCCAACTTATTTACCTAATAAAACCCACTCTCACTACTGCAAAAAGAAATGCAGCAAGGTGGACAAGGAGAACATTTGATTTTGGTATTGGGAAAGGAAAATGACAGCACAACTAAGTACGGTTCTCTGTACAGAAGACTTGCTCTTACACTTTCTTTGCACTTAGCACTCCATTAGTTTTCTACAATTTGATTTTAACTATGTAGTTCCCATTTTCCTTTCCCATTCTTGCTTTCATGTACTTTGCTATCCTGCTAACTTTAAATGATAGAAATTCACTGAAACTTTCCATTCTTTTAACTCATGTCCTCTAAGTAAGTTTGCCTTTGAAGTCTTTAAGGGTTCCATTAGTCCCTATCTTTGGGTTATACTTGATTCTTATTCTGTAAAACATTAAGGATTGAGTATGGAGGCAAAGGGTAGAAGGGTTAAGATTTGATTTTTTTGGATCTAGTTTTAGTTTTGTGTCTATTCTGAAAAAAATATGAAGTAGAAAAGAGATAGATTTACCTTTTTATGGTACATGAATTGTAGATCCTATTTATGAAGTAATTTGTAATATAGTTTGAATCAATCATAATTTTAATAAGGATTGTGAAATCAAGAAGGAAAAAACCCCTTGCTAACCTATGTGTTTTTCTTTTTCCTCCTTTCTCTAGCAAAAGTCTGGAGAAAAACCTGTCCCAGGTATGGGTCATCTGACATTCTTACTAAGCATGATATAAGACTAACAGTTTTTAGCTCATTAACAGCTAGTAATGTGAGGTGGAATATGGTCATTTTTTATAGACTATTTTATCGTGAATTGTCATTCCTAACTACTAACTATTGGGATATGTTGAATTGCCAAAGAGTAGTGCTTTTGTGGTGGTGGTTGCTATGTGCTGGTGAGACTGAACCAGCTCATACCAGACACTCCAGTGAGTTCTTAAAGGCTGTAAATTGCACAGGAGGAGACTGCCCATCTTTCTCCTGTTAAGCAGGAGCCTTTGAGTTGGCAGAGCAACTCCTTACCACTTAGTCACCAAAGCTTCCTGCCTTTGTGGTAGTGATGCTGATATTTACAGGAGAAATTAGAGTGGAAAAGTAGATGTTGAAGAGATGGAGATGCCACAGTGAATGGAGGTGGTTTTTAGTTTTTATCTCAAGGTGAAAAAAGCTTTCTGTTTAATCATTGAAAGTAGATATTAAATATCCACTGAACTGAGCTATAGTAATTGTGAATTTTGTATACATACAATGTCTTATTTCATGGGAGAGAAATGAGCAGTCTCATCCCTTGTGATTGACAGTCTCTGATAACTTATGGAGGGTCAACTGAAATTTGATTCCAATTTGACGGCAATAACTAATTTGTAATGTCTTGTTTAAATACCACATGCCTTTGTCCTGTATCCCACATTTCCTTGAATTTTCAGTTTTCTCATTTTTAAATGGGTTCTTTACATCTGCCTGATTAACAGCTACATTTAGATGATGCATAGTTAAAATGAATTTTAAAGAATCTCAATTATTCAGATTGTCTTCTATCTAAATTTATCTCATCTTTCCACTCTCATTCCCTTAATTCTTTTTTTTGATTTTTAGTGGATCAAACAAAGAAAGATCTAGAACCTTTACCGGAAGCTGTCAAATCTGATGAGAAAGAGACTACCAAGCATACCCAACAGACAGTAAGCACAAAAGGCCCCCCTGAGAAACGGATGAGACTCCAGTGAGTTTTAGAAGAGAAGCTATCAAGACTTGTCTACTACCTTACCTCATTTCTGTGGCTAGCTCATAAACTTTTAAGCTTTGACATGTTTTTTAAACAGCTTTCTCCTTTGTATTATTTGTTTCCTTTGTGAATATTTCTTGTGTATCTTTATGTAGTCTTTAGGCTGTTGGACTTGTTCAGCCTGCACCACTTAAATGTACCATATTATATATGTGTGTAAAAACAAAATAAAGTTTTTTGCATATGTTGCTTTTTAATGTCTTCTCCCCTCACCCTCTTTTCTGCTCTTTCTGAATTATTTCCAGCTTGATTTCTTGAATTTATAGATTAACATAAGTAACA